CACTGGTAGTTCGGTCCGAGGTTCGAATCCCGCGAACGGGCTGGCTGCATGGGCGTTTTCGTGATTTTCCCCATGTGTGAGCCAGTTTCCCTTATAAAGTCCTTCACGAACGCATCCCTTCCCTTAGGCAGATAGCCCTAGTGTGCTTTGCCGTATTCTCAATACACACACAGTTCTGTCGGCAGGGGCGTAGCCAGAGTTTCCAGCGCCCGGGGACAACTGAAGAATTTGAGCCCCTTTCTGTGTGCCAAGAATGGAAAACATTTCATTAAAAAATTTTGTAGCATCAATTTGGCGCCCCTTGGATGCTGCCCCGGGGAAAGATGTCCCCCCCTGCTTCACCCTAGCTACGCCGCTGTTTGTCGGCCATATTCAGCTAAACTTATCGTGTCAATTAACACATATTTTTTAACGATAGGATCCCATAACTTTGAAAATAAGCTACTCCTTGTTGTTCTATAAATAGTATGTCTCAAATGTTAATCATCGTTCTGAATATCCAAGGAAAAAAACACAACAGTAACAGTTAATTCATATCCTTGTTCAAAAAAACAAAAGGTCGCTTACCGAGTAACAGTCGCAGTTACATTAAGCGAAAGCCCCGATATTATGAATCTGTTGTTATGTTTTAGCCATAACTGATGTTAAATCGCGCTGTTAGAGAATGTTACACGGTCAACAAAAGTTAAAAAAAGTACCTAAAAAATTCTCGCGTAAAAAAGGAAGAGTGACCTGAGAATTTCACTAAACAATTTAGAAATTTTAGAAGAAATGTTATTTGCGTACAAATAGACTCATTTCTTCAAGATTAATTTTTTTTTTACATCTGCATAATGCCGACTACTAATGAAATATCTTTTAGTTGTCTTTCCTTTCTCCATCTTTTGTAAGATAAGTGTGATTTTGTTAAACTAACTACTGAATTCTTATTCAAAGTTTTTTCAGTCCCCGACTAGCTGTAACAATGCAGTAGTTTAATTAATCAACTGTCAAAAACTACTCTTAAAAATTTACTAAATTCCGACTTTCAGTACACAGTAACTAAAGATTTTGAATTAAAAGTGTTATATGTTTTTTTCTGTAACATATAATACAGTAAATAACTTCTAACAAACACAAGACTTACATTCATGAGAATATTCTCATCCAGTGCTAGAAGAAACGCTCATAAAACCCAAGATAAAATTTTTAAAAATATCACATGCTCAAGCGCTATGCAAATTTGTATATAAGAAATGCCACATTTAAATTACCTTTTCTCTGAGACTACAATAAAAAAGTAAAAAAAAAAAATTCCATTTCAAATCCTTTACAGTTGGTTGTTAGAACATAATATGTTAACAATGGTAACGAAATATATTACATTACATTATTAAAACAGTATTGGAACAAACGGATACGGATATATTATAAGTGTGCAAGCCATGTGACACAACGGAACCATCATTCGCTCAGCCAAAGAAATCTATGACTTGAAATTTCGATGAGGTAAATGCTCCAGTTAGGATAAAAAACAAAACCATGTATTAAAAATTACATTTAAGCGTTTGTTAAAGACTACAGTCGGGAAAAATAATTATTTATTTTAAAAGAAAATTGCTGAAAGAACTGGACTTGCGAACTTACTACCAAATTAGTTTTATACTCATTACTTACAATTGTTTAACTGGTCGTAAAAACTGTGCTAATATTTCCATCTGGCTATCAATTTCTGTGAACGAAACACGTTATTCTTGAATTTAAATACTTCGAAATGACATACATAGGTAGCTGCGATTTCTCTTATTTTAGAAAAGACTCCTTTGGAAAACGCTAAGCAAGTTTGGTAAATTCCCTTCCTTTAACTTTGTCTTTAGTTCTTCTCTGGTTTGCAGATCTGCCAGATTATATGTCAGATCAAAGGTATGCCCCTGCAATATGGGATTCAGGCCGTTTATACGAACAGAAATACCTATGATAAATACCAAATTGTTTCGGATTCCAAATGACACAGCCTTAACTTTTTCAACTTAATAAACTTCTGTCATTTATTAGAGCTAAAGAACATTGCTTTGGTCTTGCTTTGGCTTAGCAACCAAACTTAAAAAAATGTGTGATATAATTGTTTTTAAGTTACTTTCCACCTTAAAGCTTTGAAATAGCGGTATTTAAGTGTACATGATTGTCTAATCAACAATTAATAAACACAAATAAAACTCATTGCAGTAACAACGTCTTATCTTCATTTTATCCCATTAAGATCGAATAATGTATAATGCAATGATGTTTCTTAATTTAATTTGACTTCTTAATTTTCCATGTGTTTGAAAAAAAAGTTGATGCCTTTCCATTTTCTTGACCACTCATAGTCGTAACACCATTGGGTACTACGTCCATAAATTTTGATTTGTAACTTTCTAAACAATTGAGTAATCTTTGTAATAAACCTGAGATTTTTTTTCCTTTTCAGCGGGCACAATCCAAAAAGCTCTTCGAGAGTTTCAAAATCTGATGTAACATCGCGAAAAAATATACCAATTCAGAGAGGTAGTTGTTCTTAGTGTATCATTTTATGCTATTTGAAAGCCAAAAATTCATCTTTATATTTTCATATGCTTCAGAACAAATATTCACAAAATCTCAACCTGCAAAATGTAGTGATGATGTCCCAGTTAATCGAGATGTATCAAAACTTACTTCAATCTGATTTTCAACTGCATCAAAAAATGATCGAAATGTATTTTGGTGAGTTCTTAGCGATTTAAGCAGTGCAGCATCTTTTGTTACTTGTTGTTGTCGTTATTATGATGTTTTTCAGAATATTTTTTGTTAAAACGTGTGCGCTTGGTTTCAGAATGTAGTTTCAAGATGAATTTCCTCAGCAAGCCTATGCTTTGGTTACAAGTAATGCCATATTCACACTCAGCGATATGAGGTTACAAGTAATGTTATAACTTACAGCTTTAATCACATTAGTAATTATTGCTTTTAATTCGTTAAATGAATCTAGAACATCGATGTAATCTTTATCTTATCACAGTCTAATGGGGAAATAATTACAAGGAATAAGATTTACCTTGTAATAAGATTTACCTTTAAATTAAATCTTCAATACCACTCCCAGTGAATTTTTCAATATTTTAACCCAAATATTCTTTCACAAAATATTTTATACTATTTTCAGCCAAGGAAAAACGTCTTTAGTTTCCTAAACATGAGATCAATCCCGCGTTAACTAGTAATTACGAATCGTGTTGCGATATTAAGCTTTGAATATAAATTTCTAGTTTCGTCAACTGCTAATACTTCTGCCCGGCAACACTACCTATGTGAATACTGGTCAGTTATTCGTTTTAAACGATATTACACGCAATACATAATAGTTTTAAGCGCTCTGATGTTGAAGTATGGGTTCTCAGTCTCTTACTGGTGCCATTTCTGTTTGTTGATATAACCATCCGACTATAAATGAGTGTCGTCGTTAAATAAGATTAGATATCACTAATTTTTCCATTTCATTTCATCTCGACCATTGAATTTACAAAATTGTCTTTTCTTCTGATGTCCAATCCCACCACCAATCTCAAACATCTGAATAAAAATATTTTGTCCCTGGTTAAATTCGTGATAAAATATCTGACTACAGGGCGTTTTCATAATTTTGCCTCATAAAGGTGAGCCCGCTTTTCTTATGAATTCTTCCATGATGACATCCATCATAAATCAGACAGCGCTTATGTTCTTCGATATTATTAAATAGCTAATCCGTCACCGAATCATCTCTCCGAATCAATTTAATCCATTACAAACGTTCTCCTTGTCTCACATATGAAGGGAAATATCTTAATATTGGGTCTAAGTAATTTGTAAATATGTTAAATTTGGAACACCTTATGAAAATTATTGAATTATATTCCGATAACATTGGAATAAACTATTAGAAATGAATTTAGATGTAGAGTCGAAACTTGGTAAATATAACATCATACCTAGACAAAATATTATTAAAACAATGAAACATTTGTAAAAACAACATGATAGATAGTTATAACTTTGATGAGAAAGTGCTTTTTGATCAACATTATGTCAAAGTTTGCTGTCGATTTTAATAATGTTTAGAATCATAATAGAACATTCCGATTTTTGAGTTATGCCACTTTTCGATCAGACACAGTGATAACAGCTCGAAGAAATCAATTAATAATGGATATGATTAGGTCTAAATATTATACTAAGTATTATATTAAAATGAAATCTTTTAGGTACTTTAAATAAAAATAATCAGTAAAATATTATATAGGTTAGATATAGCATTTTACATAAAAGGAAAAACGAATATACTCGAAACCTACACTGTAACCATCACGTCAGTAGATGATTACTGTTAGAAGTAGTGTTTGCGCAGCAGTGTAAACTTTGACTGCTAAAGATTTGTGAAGCACAGGTTCAATAAACTAGATCGTTGGCATATTAGCCATCTAGAACAGAGCACTAATTCCCGAAGATAAAATAGAAACATCAATAATGCGGATGAGACATTTGGAAAATATATTTATCTTAGGCAATAATTATATGATTCGCTGAACTATTTAATTTTTGAATGACTGACACGAAATAAGAAACTGTTTTTGATTATTAAAAAGTATAACTTCAAATACTGGATCTCCATTATAGTCTTACTGTCATCTGTTGTATAAAAGTTTAACTGATTGTAAAAGTAATAGAAAGCTGTTGACCACCTTAGATTTTAGAGAATAAAAAAATCTCTCTTTTAAATTTAATTATTAATTTGTTTTAAATTTAGTAGATTTAGCTAAGTGCAAGATATTTTTCATAGTGTAAGGTATTTTCTCCCTCCTTATCGCGTGTCTTTTTGATGTAATTGGAAGCACGTCTGATTGGCAATCGAAAGGTCTGGAGTGAGAATCCCGGACAGGACACTGCATGATTTTCATGTTTCCCGCTTCCAATAAACCTAATGATCTAAACAAATGTACTGACTTATGACTTTCAATACGTACCTGGTAACCCATCTTCAAACATTGCGACGAATACAAACATGATACCAATAGACTATTACAGTTAACTTTTTCTTGATCCGCCCAACCAGTTGCTGAAAGGTTTAAAGACTACTGAATGCTGGTAGTTCGTCAAGGATTCGAACCAAGACGAAAGAGCTGGCTGCTTGATGAGTCAGATTCCCTTAGAAAGTCCTTCAAAAAAGCATCCTTCCTTTAGGCAGACAACGCTCGCCTGCTTTGCCATATTCAAATAACTTAAACCTAACCTAATCGTCTTCTTCATCCTCGACCCTGTTTATCACAAAATTATTTTAGTAATAACGCAATTAAACCAAGATTCATGGCTTTATGAAAAACTTCAACACTTCGAACTTCATACTTCTAACATTCATACTCGGCATACAAGGCCCGGTTTCAGGAACTGAAAATAAAAAAATTTGAAAAATAGGACAAGCATCTAATTCATGTAATTTTTCATATGGGACTCTGACAGTCATAAACAGAATGCAGTAATAGATAAAGGAATATTTCTTAAAAATAGAGATGTACATGATCAAACAGTGTAAAGAAGTGGGCCAAAAAATAATCACCTTATTTGCGCAGTGGATTAAGTCAGCTATCTATATTGCTACTCTTTCATTGTTATTGGACAGATGGTTACGTTGTTACGTATTTATTAAGTCACAAATGACGAAGTCAAAGTGCGTAGTGCGCTTAATAACGTAGTAGAGTAAAAATGTATTTGCAATGGCATGAAATTCTTTCTTACCTGTCATCAAGTTTCAGAATAAGTTTGCAAGAGTCATTATGTCCTCTATACGTTTCTGACGAATGAGTCATTCTGTACGAAAGAATTGGCTTTATTGAGTTATTATAATAAATCTTCTATGCGTCTATTTATATTGAGAATCATTTTAAATTAAATCTTTCGTAATAAAAGTTTATAAAAAATTACTTATATTAAGGTTACTTTAATAAATCTTTCATGGATATTTTTGTAACAGAAGTTAAATCTCGTCTGATAATATGAGAATATTCTTCCTTGAATTCTGACAGTTTCATGATTATTCATATTACAGCGTAAGGAATGCTTTTTATATGTTAAATAGTTAAATAATTATATCTTTAAATGTTAGTTCATTATTTTCATAATATTGTGATAATTTCAACTTACCTTTAATTCTTCATGCACGCAAACTCTTTAGGAGACACTAAAAGACTTTCATGTGCAACTACACATCGCGCTTGGGCTTGTCTTAACTGGTAGAGACTTACACATGTTATTGGTATTATCTATTTCTGTGGGTTTCTGATTTTATTAATTTGGGAAATTTAAGGATAATTCACCTAGACAGGTATTCTGGTTAGTGGATAGTTACCTTATTTAATGAGAACATTTAATAAATTTGTAGCCTAGAAATAAGCAGTATTTATACTGTTTAATATATTCATTAGACATACTATCGCCTTGGGTAATTTTGAATCCATTTTTGAGCTCGGAATTACGAAGATTTAGATGGCTTGAAAAAAATAATAAAAAATAAAAATACCTACTTTATATGCAACTGTTTAAAAATAAAATTTCACTTAAATTTTAGCTTCTTTATGTAAATAAACCTATTTATATTTGGAAAGAGAGCTTTATATTTTTAAATAGTTTTGTATTAAATATTTTGTTACATTATCCTTGAAGCGAAAGATGAATGGGAATTATTCCAATATTGTATTAAAATTGCTACTAATAAGAATATTAATAAGTTCATGTATTAATAAGTTTAGGTAGCACTGAAATAGTCAGTTTCTCTTATGACCCAATTTTTATATCCCTGTGAAATTTTGCTTGTGTGAGTTACGCTTGTTTATGTATATTTGTTCAAGAAACTATTGAGCAAAATTTTAAATTAGCGTTATATTTAGTTTTTTGTGTTATTTATGCAATCTAATTCTAAAGATATGCATTTATTACTTAGTAAAAATTCGTAAATATATAAACAGATTTCAATAAGGCCTTTTTGTTAAAAAATCCCTGCCTATTATTTGGATCTGAGAACTAACTTTTCTGTTGAATACGATAATAATATTCTCACACGTCACTGAAGACAAGCAGCTTCAAATGAACGAGAAGTTAGAAAAAGGCTGAAGGCTGACATTTTAACAAGGAAGTGGTATATTAAGGGCATAAAAAACTGTGGAACTTCGTAATATGAGAGTTCTTCCTTTGCTTATAAAAAAGAATAGGATGGGGGGAAGAGAAAGATAGAATTGGCTGTGGTTGCAGTTGTGCATTTCTTAAGAAATCGATTATTTTTGATTGACTTTCTATTGTTATTCTCAGTATAAACACTAACAAAAGTTGTGTGAAAAAACTCATGATGCAGTACAAGCCAAGAACTACGCAAATTCGATAAAGGGCTTTCGTGCCAGAAATAGAACTTACGAATCATGTAATCTTTGACTGAAGGTTAAAACAAAACCAAGCAATGAAGTATAATGTATATTTTCAGCACTTTTTATTTTTCTTGCTGTAACCTTAAAATGTAACATTCAATTTTGTTGAAGGAACGAAGATCCATATTTTATCAAGATAATGCTTGTCCTTATATTTCCTTTCTCATCCAAAGAAAAGAAACTAAAACATTTGCACAGGTAACCTCGGTCCATCCACTCTATAAGGGAATTCCGAAATATTTAGGCACACATGGTTTGTAAAAAAAAAAAAAAAAAAAAAAAAGAAAAAAAAAATGTTTTTCTTTAGGTTGTCTAACTTGGAAGGAGGCATCTAATGGTACATGAATTGTTTTCGCTTTTTCGTTGAACGATAAACTAAACTTGACAGTATTACTGGCTGCACAGTACATTTTTAGATGAGACACGCTGATGGAAAATAATACTACCAAAAACATTTCTGGAGATGGGTAGTTTTTAGTAGTGGAACTACATCCAAATTTTGAAATAAGTACTGCCGAAAGTACTTTTTCTAATATGAAAGCAATGAAGTCTTCTTGAAGAAATCGATTATTTGATGACCATTCTCCTAACTTCTTGAAATATCGACAACATTGTATGATCTTTTTACTTCTGATAAACGCTCACGGTTCTACCAATAATTTCTATTGCATTTTAAGCATTCAATTTAATGATATGAATACTTTACTGAAAAAATATATTCAAAATAACATTTCGAGTATTTCATGTGCGTAATCTTACTACATTTGATCTCGACATTGTCCGATCTCTAAGACTGTTTAAATAGATAATATTCAACAAAAATAAGAGTACTTACGTGCTATCGCTACCATCTCGGTAGAAGTAGCCAAATTTTCAGAAAGTGCCAAACTCTGGCAACCATGCGCATAACCATTCTTCCGGTAACCATGCTCATAACAATCGTTTCAGTCAAGCAATGCCGCCATTTACGTATGCGTTCTATTTTGTTGTAATCGAAGTACCAAAGGTTTTTATACATGATATATTTTGCTTTAAACTTAGTTTTAAAATATGAGATTGTGGAATTCGCCAGCAAAGGAAGAAACTACAGTATAATTTCGGCAGTAATACGAAATTTTCTCAAAATCTAAAGGGAACAACAAGGAAATGCGTTTTCTTAGCTGATGTTGCCGATGCACGAAGCCGAGTCTGCGCAATTCTGTTATGTTTTTTTAAGTGAAAATGGATCTCTGTATACTTCGGGAGAAGAATAACATACAAAAAGAAAGAAAAGTAAATTACAGAATTATTTGAAGAAGAATGTATTTTTATTCTGTGAAAGTGTTTTATTTTTTAATGTATGGCATAATCCTTCTTTAATAATTCAAAGTTGTATTTTAAATTGCTAAAATATGTTTTCTTTTGCTATGTTGATATTGTTTGCCAAACTTATTATAAGTATCTATAGTTTGGGAATCTTTGCAAAAAAGAAGGCGCGAAAACCACCAACTTGCTCGTGCTAAGTAACTTTTACATTTTCATTCGCACAAAATCGCCAAATTGCGCCCAAATATTGCGATAGTACATAATCTCTTTTTAGACTTATTTTAATATTTATTTGGACTCGTGGAATTCGTCTAAATAAATATTGTAGCATTTCGGGAATTAAAAACAACAACTATCTTAAAATAACCTTCGTTTATTACTTTAGAGAGTATTTCTAAATAGTGACTGATGAAATCATATTATGGGACTCTTCGCACAATATGTTCACTTCGTATATATAGAAATTTGCCACTTCTGGTCTAATTGTTTCTGAGTAGCCTTAATGATGTCATCTTCGTCCTCGTACCCTTTTCTTGCATAAAATCCTTGGTTTTACAAAAAAATAGAAGTTCGTATGAAATCCATTAGGTATATTCGAGAGCAAAATATATTAATAAAAGTATATTCGATTTAAAACTACGAGCCTTTTCTTCGAATGCGCTTTGTGAATTTACCTTAAAGGTAATTGGAAATTAGAAACTGTAATCGAAATGTATAAAAGTAATAAGTTTTTAAATCTATATGTACCAATTTTCTCATTAAAATTTCTCGCACTTATACACCTAGTAATTATGTTTAAAAAGTATGCTCTCAACTTTGATATTTAAAAAATCTTCGATGCTGAGCCCTGATAAGCGAGCCCTTCAACCCTTCAGAGGTTGCGAGTTCAAGCAATTCTTTCCTCCCAAACACACTTGATTTTAAGTCATAAATTTGTAATGCAAGCTTTGTTCGTTTACGCCCACTGCAATGCGTAAATAGAATGCGAGCTGAGCCTGCTGATGACCATCAAGAGGTTAAAAGAAGGAAATGTTCCTATGAAATTTTAAACTCCATCTACCTTAAACAGAATTTAAGGCAAATATAAAATAATTGTGCAAAATATAGTTAAAATTTTATTAAGATTCAGGTCTCGAGGAAATATTTTTATTTCAAGCTTTAACCTTAGAATAACAAAAACGCATAATATTACAAAATAACTATTTTAATGCATTTAAGGGGATAAAAAACCCTCAGAAATTATGATTTTATAATAAAATATTAGATGACTTAAATGGATTTAAAATATTAATTTAGCACTGCTGAAACAATAAGAATTGCTAAAACACATTTCGGTACTAGTCCGTTTTGAGGACCGTAAAAAAATTGCAGCGAAATTGTATGCGCAAAAGCGCCAAATCTAGCAAACGCGCCCATTTAACAGCGCGCCAAATCTAGTGTACGCGCCGATTTCAGATTGCGTAAGTTTATATGAGTTTATATAGTTCTGTATTACTTACGACGCCATTGAAATACTAGTTTAATTTTTAAATCCTTTTTTGATATCCTATGGATTTAACAATTTGGGAATTGCCCATGACATGTCTGCAATAGAATTTTGGGTAAAGTGCAGAATCACCCACTGCTTGACGCGTTTTCAAGAATTGCACATACTCCACTTTAACGAGAATTTTTTTCAAAGAAAAGGCATCATTCATTACAGAAAATTATATTTGAACAGCCAACGAGATGA